CTCCCAGTCCCATACGCCTAGCTTTTTACTAGTCTTTCCAAATACTTCTTACTAAATGTCCCTTGCTCTTGGCAAAATTTCCCACTGAATTCCTCTTCTGTCATGCAGGGTCTCCCTTTGGGCTTCATCTCTGTATATTCTCTAAAATGGCATTTACCATTCTGTTGTTTTTTCCTCTCTCCTCTCCTAACTGGACTCCTTGAAGATAGGGCCATGTATTTCATCCTTAGAGACTTCATGGCCAGCAGTGGGTATAAGGTCCAATGTATGACTATTACAAGCATGGATATGTTTGGTGGATAGTCAGTTCTCTAACATTGCCTCATTTGCAGAGCATGTCTATCTGTCCAGGGTCAATTACACGGCCTGTGGTTATCAATGGTTGGAAAAAGTCCCTGGTGAAGGGGTAGATGTGCAATGGGGTGGATCACAAGGTGGTCCAAGTCACAGTTATTTCTTAGTTGCCCGCACAAGTCTCACATCCTGTGTCTTTTCTCTCCCTGTCGTCCTTTTCAGTCTCTGCCATGTCAGAGAAATTACACATGGCCGCTTCTAAGGATTCTTCGATTGGCCAAATTTTTCCATTATGTAGTCTTCCTCTGCCCTCTGGTGGCTAGAATATGCTACAACATTCCACTTCAAAGAACTATGGCCTCTGGTAGTAGGAACAATTAAGAGGTATGCAACTTGGGAATACATTATCTGAGTCTATTTGTCCTTTTGCATTGCAATTTTCTGGAAAGATTAAATGATAAGGAGTAAAATGGTTCTTGGCATATAATAGGCAATAATTCTTAGCTTCTTTCCTTTTTAATGAAAGAACCCATCTTAAGAACAGGACAAAGAAAACTTGAATTTTATCTAATGATTAGGCTGGGTAGTTCCAGAACACTAAACCCCAAGATCTGTTAGTGAAAAAAAGGTCTGGCAAGGGAGGTCCCAGCCTCTAAAAAGTACCTGTAAAGTTCCGAATAGGGATGGAAACTAATGACCATAGATAGCATTTATAAAATACATAGTCTGGGCCAGGTATACTTTATCCTCTTAACAGCTCGGCTGAGGTAGGTGCCTAGTTCCAGAATATTGGCCTACAGAATGGATTGGTCAACTGGGGTAAAATAAATCCTCAAGTTGGGGACAAGGGACAGGAGGGTCAGGGAGAAATCATGGCCTGATAAAGACAGCAGACTCAAAAGGGATAATATTAGATTCTTTTAGTTTAAAAAGCAAAGCATCAAACAAAAACCCTAATGTCCAACAGGATCAAAGGTTTAGCCAGTGTAAACCAGACCGCAAAAGTTCTGTTTTAGATATGATTTCTATCTAATAGGATCTAATTCATATGATACATTAGAGTCAAGAATGTGAGATTTTAAAAAAATGTTTTTGAGAGAGAGAGAGTGGGGGAGAGGCAGAGAGAGAGGGAGACAGAGGATCCAAAGCAGGCTCTACACTGATAGCAGAAAGCCCGATGTGGTGTTTGAACCCACAAACCATGAGATCATGACTGATCTGAAGTCAGACACTTAACCAGTTGAGCCACCCAGGTGCCCCCTCTCTCTCTTCCTATTTTTTAAAACAAGTTTAAGCACATATTTACTCAATACTACTATACGCAAGGCACTTGAATAAAGCCTTTCATACCAAAGTCTTGTGTGTGTAAATTCTGCAATACCTTTATATGGAAGGAAACAGTTGAAATTCTTCATTATCAAAGAACAGATGATAGCCTGGAATAATATATTTGAGGCAAAGATACTCATGGAAAACCTTTGCAAATTCTTTTAAATAGAGGACAGCCCCACCCTATCTTCAAGTCATTTTCTGGTAGAATCAATGCTTCAAACAGCTTTTTTAAAAGGTGGCATTGATACATTACACGTGTATATCAATTTATACACAAATGTTTATTGAAGTGCCTATGAATGCCCAGCACAGTGCTAGGCACCATTAAGGTTACAAGGGTCCCTGCTCCCATGGAGCTTACAGTCTAGTCAAAGAGCCACAGAACATTGATAAACATTTAAGTGTTTGAGTGGTAGAGACAAAAAGTGCCAAGGACCTGAGAGACAGAAGGGTGCTTAATTCCTCAAGAAAGGCTGGGAGAAAGAGGACTCCAGTTAGTTCTTGAAGGGCCTTATGTTCAGGGCCTACCTAGGTAGGGAGCAGGGCAAGGCATTCAGGTAAAGGCACACCAGCAGACATGGGGTTGGAGTGGAAGAAAACGGCCTATCCAGGAGCAGCACATACACTGAATTGTAGGGAACAAGCAAGCTAGAAACGTAGGTTGTAGCTAACTCTAGAGGGTGCTAAAACTCAACTGAATGATCTAGTCTTTTTTTTTTTTTTTTCTTTTAAGGCATTTAGGGGACACCAAAGACACGTGGGCAGGGGCCATCGCATGATGTCAATAGATCTGACATGTGCAAAGTGGACTTCAGGAGAAGAAAGGTGAGGGAAGAAACTCAAAATCATGTCAGTAACCCTGACACAAAATGGTGACCACAGGTAAGGTGCTGACAGTGAGATGGAACCCCAGGACTCAGCCAGAGGGCACTGTTTTCCTCTCCTAAGTATTAAGGATTTAAAAATATGTACAGTGGTTTGGGGGCGCCTGGATGGTTCAGTTGGTTAAGCGTCCAACTCTTGGTCTTGGCTCAGGTCATGATCTCGTGGTTCATGTGACTGAGTCCCATGTCAGGCTCTGTTCTGTCAGCATGGACCTGCATGAGATTCTGTCTCCCTCTGTCTCTAAAAATAAATAAACTTTAAAAAAATTTTAAATAACGGGGCACCTGGGTGGTTCAGTTGGTTAAGCATCCAACTTCGGCTCAGGTCATGATCTTACAGTTTGTGAGTTCAAGCCCCGCAACAGGCTCTGTGCTGACAGCTCGGAGCCTAGAGCCTGCTCCAGATTCTGTCTCCCTTTCTTTCTGCCGCTTCCCCATTCACACTCTGTCTTTCTCAAAAATAAATAAACATTAAAAAAAAATTTTAAATTATGTATAGTACTTTTAATTATACTAGTTTATTGAGAAGACAAATATCCAAAACAAGGTTTTAAAAATCCATTTAAGCATTTTTTTGTGATTGTTGTTGTTTTGTTCAACATGGAAGCAATACTTTCTATAATTAATCTGCTTTATATGTGTTTCGATTAAAATGACTACAGAAATAAAAATTACTGAATTGCCATGGGTTTTTGAAGTAACCACAAAATTAAGCTGTGTGTGTAGGCCAGGGGAGGGGGCGGGCATGGGGGGGAATCTACCCGACAACACTGACAGGTATTGTACATACCTTCTAAAAATGAAACAGATGTCTCACATATTAGGAATAGATATGAGGGTTATAAAGGTTATCAAGGATATTAATAATATCCTTCTTTATGGGAAAGCAACTTTAATATTATAAATGTGGTCATAAGTTTATACAGTCCTAAATAACTTAAAATCAACTCAGCTCTAGCAGATATCTCTGAAGAACAAACATAAAGGAATAAAAGTGAAGTAATTTCAGTAAAGGTAAACATAGTGTGCCTTCATCTTAATCATAAAGTCCAGGCTGGATTATCCACAGGTGTGGAGAACAGTGCAAATGATCCAAATAGAGGATGAGCCAAACCCTGTCACACATGTCTTCGCTCCCACAAACTTCCCTCTCACTTTGTCTGGAAAGTGAGAGGTACACTGGGCCGTATGTTCTCTTCTGTGATCCTGATTAGCAGGATTTTCTGATATTATACCATGCCTCCTGCTTTGTATTGTATCTCCTCTTTAATGCACCTCGTATTCCCCTGTGCCCCAGCTCCCTATAAGCAATAAGCCTCAAGTATTACAAGATGTGTCAATATGCTAGGTGACTCCTGTTAATTCTTTGGGCACAGACAGATGTACCTCTACTGAATACCTGGCTAACTGGTGGGGCATATAGGAGAAAAGCTAGGAAGGTTGTAGATTATCAAATCAGCAGAAAGGAGTCAACAGATCTGGAATAAGAACAGCTAAGGCTTTTCTTTTTTTTCTTTTTTGCTAGTTAGTGAGTGGGAGTTTTCAGATGGCCAAACGAAGAGAGAAGTACTAGAATCCAGCTAAACCAGTGGTTCTCAAAGTATGGATCCTGGACCACATCAATATCAGCATAACCTAGGAACTTGTTAGGATTGCAAATTTGGGGGCCCCACCTAAGACCCACTGAATCAGAAAATATGGAGGTGGAACCCAGCAATCTGGGTTTTAGCAAGCCTTCCAAGTGATTCTAAAGGGAGCTAGCATTTGGAAAACACTGAGCTAGACTTACTGGGAAAAAGTTGGCTCTAGCCCCACAGCGTGTTTGACTTTCCTGTGGCCGATCCAATAATCTTTTCTGCACATCGGAATTACCTGGGGAGCTCCACAAACTAATGCCTGTGACCCACCACCAATGATTGTGATTTAATTGGTTTGGGATAAGGCCTGGGCTTTGCAAATTTTTTTGAAGATCCTCAAGAGACCCTAAGGTGCAGACAACTTGGGGAACCATCTGATGAATCAAAAGATAACACACAGAGTAGTCAAATTTCATTTCCAAATACCGTTCAAGGAAGTTTCCTGATTATTTCAGAGGACTGGAACGTTGTCATCAAAATCTTAAAATTTAAGTTCTGTATCCTATCTTTAAAAAAAAA